TAAGAACCTGCAATGTTATTGGCCCTGACCTGGTATCTCAGCTTCAGTCACTTTCCCACCATGGAAACATAGCTTCCCTGTGCCTTTTCTATAAATACTTTCATGGTAATTGTTCTGATAAACTTTCTTCTATGGTACCTAAGCATAGTACAAGATTGGCAGCAAAGTCTGATCATTTAACAGTTGACATGGCTAGATGTAACTAAGTTCTATGTTAACAGTTTCTTCTACTGCATGTGGAACACTCATCTGGTTTCTTGCTTCTCGGTCAAAAATTTACATGTAATGTCAATTGTTATCTTCTATTTTCTTAATTCTTGTTCTTTTATCCTCCTCTCTCCTTAATAGTAGTTTTTCTCAGTTTCTTTAACACTCAGTAACCCCTTGCATCCTAGGGGCCTTATAACCTAGCTTGGGTTGAGAATAAAAACACACAACAGAAAAAGAAATTCTGTAATGAAGGAATATAAAGTTGGTTAAAAGGCAACAGAATATGGAACATAGCAATGTTGTACCAAAAAACTAATATCAAAGAGAAAAAAAAAAAATTAAAATTGTATTCTAACTTCAACACTTCACAGAGAGAGGGTGTACCAATTATCTTAGAACACATCTTTAGCAAGCTATAAATTAAAAACACTGTGATGTAACAAATTTTGGTACACCTTCACTTAAATGGCATAAAATAAACATCTGTTCTTTGAGCAGTGGAAAATCAATAAGCCCAAGGTATACATGTTTATTACAATTAAACATTTTATTACAACAGGCAGTGGTGGGCTACACAGCAAATAAATGCAGAAAATACAAGACCATTTTTGTATCACTGATGCCACACGAATTCATGAAAATGCGATGTGAACAACAGCACAGAAGTTCCAAACAATACCCATCCAAAGATTTTCTATGTTCTGAGTATAGATGGTGCCATCATCGGGATCCACAAAATGTTGTTGATGTATAACATCATGAGAATAGATTCCATAGTTGATTTCATCGATTCCAGCATAAGCAGCCCAGCCATCTGAAACAATATGGCTTCCAAGCCAAATATACCACACAGGTACCTCTTTTAGAGCCTCTGCTTGTTGATCAGGCTCATCGACTAAGAAACACTTTTCCCAAACCCCGCTCAAAACCACAGGGCACTATTGGCCACGGTGATTATTTTAAGCTAATAACATTTATAAAATGATAACATTTAAAGATGTAAGATGACTATTTTACACCATTTAAATGAAGGTTTACTCAAATTTTAATATTCTTTTTTCTCTTTCAGATGTATCAAGAGCATTAACATAAGATCTTCTGATCTGGCATGAAATGAAAAGGCACACCATGCTCAGAACACACATCACCAACCACACCTAGAGATAACCAGCTTTTTAAAAGTGTCCAATAGAACAGGTAGAACAATAAATACCTGTGTAAATCCCGGTGATAGACACAAATTTCACAATTGGGCCATGAACGAAGGGGACCACCACACGTCTTCCTATAAGGCTTCAGCATCTATACCACTGCCTACATAGACATCATTCTAAATAGTAGTCAAGTCGTAGATCAAAACATTGGTCATGTGTGTTCCAGTGGGATTCTATTTCTTCTTACATAACCCACATGATAGACAAGTGACAAGCCAAGAATTTTCAGAATCACAACACCCACCCCAATATGTGGCCTCTATGCTCTTCTGATTTGAACCTGGTACACCTGTTATAAAAAGGGAGACCAACCAATGGGTTCTAATTATACCATGGACAAGTTAAAAGCTACCATTGTGAATGTGAAGGTCAACATGAAAGTGATCCACCTGATCTGATTGGACAGCTACTTCCAAAGCTGTCCTCAAGGCTGAAGGTTTTGTTTGTTTGTTTTTTTTTTTTTAAATATTTTCAGGTTTTTGTACGAAACCTTTTTGTAAATACGTTCACCCCTTGAATATTTGTTTTCTTTTATAATTTGTTCTCAGACTCTGCATTTTACATAATGGCCATCTACTCAATTTCAAGCATGACCACTTTCTTAAATTAAACATTGCTTGACACTCATGTAAGAAAATATTCCTAACTCAGAGTGATAGACACTTATACAATATAATAATGGCCAGATACTTTCATTTTCCAAGAAGATTTGACTGCTGGGACAGGTAGCCAATCCCTGTCATAGATACCTGCTCAGGCATATTTGTGTTTGAGCCCCTAGGTGGTTTATACTGCAATTATGTTGAGCAAAACTTAGTTACAGTTCCTGGGATAGAGTGCCTAATCTGTCATGATCTATCATTTGAACAACATTAATATGTTCAAACCTTCGGTCACGATGATTTATGATTTTGTGCTAGAACAACCATCAACAGCTTCCAAAATTCTGTCTACCCAATTTCACTTATAACTACAGGTTTTTTAATTGAGTTAAGCTGAAGAGCCCAGTGCTACTATTTAACCCTGGCTGCACAGTCAATGAATGCCAAATGTTTCCTTATAGGTAAAATGGCTAATATATCCATTACCATACTTAACATATTGACTTCCAGACATCAAATATGAAATCCAGCTTCAAACATCAACTTTATAATATATTATGCGTTGATTTATAGTTTCAGCTGAAGTCTTAACATTGCTTTCACACTAAAAGTGTCACTGCAAAAAAACTTGTTGTTGGCGCCTGCAGATGAGAATGCATCACAAAATGCCAAGCACAAGATAACTTGTGGTTGGCAATTTTTATTATGACACCGAGTCAAAGTTAACTTGTGGTTGGCAGTCAATGTGTTAAAAGATGTAAGAGGCAAATATCTGCAGATGAAATAATTTACTCCAAGCATTCGTTATATTTACTATACAATTAAAATACACTAATAAAACCCAGTTTTTAATAATCATTAAAATTATATTAACATTTCCAAGATTAAACATGTACACAGATGTCATAAGGTATACGCATGACACCTACACAACCAATGAAAACAAAACCACATGGAATTTCAAAATTGAAACATAACTCGGCATTAATTCACTTCCAAATATTTCTGATGAAGGTAGACTAAATATTGAAATGTGTTAAATTTATAAAGATTTTCCTACTTCATTCACTCTGTTTAATCCATATTTTCAACTCGCACATGTCTACATATTTTCTTGCAGATGGCTGTAAATCTAAATGAAGGGTTGACATTATATTTTGCATTAAAACATTTTGTCATATAAGCCTGCACACAAAAACATGTATATGTATTTTTTAAAGAATTAATGGATTTATTTTAATTTGACATTTTTATTACTTCAAACATTATTTTTAGCGAATACCCATATTTGTGTAGACAGCCTGTTTTTCAATCTGAGTATATTATGTCTACTGGCCTGCACACTCATGAAAATTTAGAGAAATTCTGAACAATTCATTCATTTTTTATGGCTTATCAATCCTTTGCAGGTTATTTAAAGCCTGAAAATATTTTTTTAGATTGTAAGAATTTATTTTTAGAGATAATAATTTAGTGATACAAATCTTACTAATTAACCCACAGCTGGGGGTGGGAGGTAGATTCATACCTTTCCCAAAGGTATTTGTGCTTAAGTGAATATAGGAAACCCAACTGGAATTGAAACTTGCCTCACCAATTAACAATTCTGAACCATTATCGATTATACTACCCACACATACAAGCTTACAGCACATGATATTCACAAATGGTCACTCATCTAGGTACTGATCAGACTATGTTGCTTAACTTCAGTGATCATACAAGAACCGGTGTTTCAACGCAATATGACTAAGTCCAAAATCTGAACGAGATGATGTTGCATTCCTTAAAATGGTAAAGAGCCTCTTGCTGGGCTGTGATGCTTTTCATGGCCGAGAAGTCTAAAGTATGCCGGATCAGACAGTGGGTTCTCCTACAAAGGAGGATGCAGGTTCAAGCCCTGCCAGGATGGCACAGGCCAGTAGACATAATACCTACTGTTTAAAAAAACAGTGTATAGACTAAAAATAACATTTGAAGTAAACAAGGTTAGAACAAACATCAGTAGTGTTTTTCAATACATGGTAATCGAACACATGATTTAGTTTCACAAGTGGAATTTTATATATATATATATATATATTCTAAAAAGTGACATTTCAACATGTCTTTCTATAGGATTCATGTGTAGATTGTGAATTTTAAATATTTTTACATTAAAAATTGAAAACTGGAAGAAAATGAAATGCATTTTCATCATAGGATGCTATTTCCAGAAAGGGGTGGGGGGAGAGAACATACTGTACAAGCAGCAAAAAGGACATATGCCACTTATGGAGATGATGCCATAGCTAATAGTACTCATAAATGTTCATAAATGGTTTGCTAAGTTTAGAAATGAAAATTTTGAACTGGAAGGTCAAGAATGTTCCAGCAGGCATAGAGTCAGTGATGACAACTGAAATTGTTTAAAAATAGTCGTCAAGATTGCACGACACAGGATATTGCAGAGGTATTCCACATATGAGCACTGCAAGGCATTTGAAAATACTTGTATACATCAACTGCTACAATGTTTGGGTGCTTCACCATTTAACAGAAAAAAAATTTTATGGGTTACATTTCCATCTGCGATTCTCTGCTCAAATAAAACAAAAAAAAAAATGACACATTGAAATTGTTTACGGCAATGTGAAATGAAAAATTCCTAGCAAAAACAAACTGAGCCACAGTTAAACATTCCAAAAGCCAATCAGCATTCTGAAGACAGTGATGCTGTGTATCTGATGGGATCTGAAAGGATATATTGTATATTACAAATTCCTTCAACAAATCAGATGTTCAATTCAGACAAGTACTGTACCAATTGAACTGATTCAACACAAAACCTTAAGTTACTTTGGCAAAAATTGGTACAACTTGGCTGGGATATCCTACTGCAATGACCAGACTCACCTTACCTTGCACTTCTAGATTTCCGCTTATTCTGACCCGCACAAAATTTCAGAATATTTCATTAAAGTAATAAACTTACGCTTGATGAGAGGCCAAGGGAATGTGAGATCATCTTCGGAATGTCACTGGCAGGTAAATCCTGGGTGGGTTTTTCAAGGAATTTCACATAACCTGGAGCATGGGTAATGTGGAGTAGATCTCCCATCACCTGAGAACTACACAGCAACAGCAGCAGCATGGCTGAAAGACAATAATACATTGGTCATTAATTAATCAACAGATTCTACAATGAGAACAAACCTTGTTTATTAACTAAAGCACACACATTTACAAGATGGCCCTAAAAAGTTCTCAACCTGACCAAGCTCTGAAATGTACATGCACTTTATATTCATCCATCAAGATTAAACATACTTCACATATTGCTTCTCAAATTTCTTTGACCCCCCCCCAAAAAAAAATATATATATATATATAAATAAAAAATGCTTAATTTAAAAAGATTCAATAAAAATAGATGGGCTACTTGACGAGTGAGAAAGCTACAAATTTTCCCTGTTTTATACTTAGTAATTACAGTCTGTCTGAACTTATGCAAATCACATAAACCATAATAACTCGAATTTGATTTGAAAAATTGTCAAATTTTAAATGATTGATTTAGACATCAAACCAAAACTCAAGTTAAACTTTTAGGTAGTTTCAACATGTTTATTAAAGTTATTTGATTTATTACTCAAAATCTGAGGGGAAAAAACGCTTTTTACTTCAATAACAAGGTAATAAAATCAGCAATAATTAATCAAAACTTGGGGAAGAAAAAATAAACTTAATATAGTGACGTTCTTCTCAATAACAGCCAGCAATCCATTACATTGGCCTGCATTAAATTTTTTTCCAAAGGTTTATCAAGTGATATATGATCACCATTTTATGCTGAATTCAAAAATGGCCAGGTCTGGTTTTTAAGATAGGCTTGAATACTTTACAAGTTGTACACAATAATAACACTTATTCAAAAGCCTGTGGACTCTACTGGTCACAGCTGATTGTGGGTGTCTGATGTTTAGTGTAGCATATAATGTTATATGTGTACCTAACTACAGTGTACCACCCTACTCGCTCAAACCCACATACCTAGAGGGGACAGGGCTTATTCATTAACTTAAAACGATTTTAATGTAGTGTGTCAAGCTTCAACAACAAGCTGAGTGCAGATTTTTTTTTTCTCTTTTCAGCTTGATATTTGTATTCCTGTAAGAATGGATTGCAAGTGTAAGAATAATCCTGACAGGTTCTGTTATATCTGCAGTAATGTGGTTCTTCTTAACCGTCAAGCAAAGAATCATTGACTTTGTGAAAAAGGTATATTGTGATTACTTTGGAGTCAAACTATGGGATCAGAATAAGCCATTCTCTCCAGACGTTTGCTGTAAAACATGTGTGGAGAACTTAAGGGTGTTGCAGGAATGGTAAAAGGAAGAGTATGCCATTTGCCATTCCAATGGTCTGGAGGAAAGGAAAAGATCACATTACGGGCTGCTATTTCAGCTAAATCTCAAAGGGAATAAATCACAAGAACAAGCACCATGTCCAATATCCCGATGTTCCTTCTGCCATAAGACCAATCTCTCATGGCCCAGAAGACCTTCCGGTTCCTGAGCCAGATGGTAACATGGAATATAGCTCTGATCCCGAACATAGTGACATGACTGTTGTAGCTGGGGATGATGCATACAAGCCAGAAGAGGACGACCAGCCAGTACCCTTGACGCAAGCAGAACTCAATGACCTTACATGAGAACTGAACCTTTCAAAGGAGGTCTGCTCAGTTGCTGGGTTCATATCTCAAAGAGAAACATCTATTGGTGCCAGGAACAATGTTCTACTGGTATTGATACCATGAGAGAGAATTAAGACAGTCTTCATGTTCCAGGATAAGTAGTCATTGGTTTATTGCAACAACATTGCTGGATTGATCAAATCAATGGGCTTAGAGTATGATGCTACAGAATGGAGACTTTTCATTGACTCATCCAGCAGAAGTCTCAAAGCAGTTCTTCTACATAATGGGAATGTTTTTTTCACCTATCCCTATGAAAGAAACTCACAACAGCATGGATCATTTGTTGTCTGCTATTAACTACCAGGAGCACAAATGGTTGATCTGTGGAGATTTTAAGATGGTTAGACTGGACCTAGTGCTCCAAGGTGGGTACACAAAGTATCCTTGTTTTCTGTGTCTCTGGGACAGCCAGCCTGACGATCAACATTATGTCAGACAAGAGTGGCTGTTAAGACAAGGGTTAAAACCTGGCTCGCATAACGTTCAGTCTCACGCTCTCATTGAACTGAACAAAATACTGCTTCCACCCTTACATATCAAGTTAGGAGTAATGAAGAACTTTGTGAAAGCAATGGACAAGAAAGGCAGTGGGTTTGCTTTCCTCCAGGAGAATTTCCCACAGATAAGCATGGAGAAACTCAAGGCTGGTATATTTGACGGCCCTCAAATAAGACAACTCATGAAGGACCCAATGTTTGACGAAGCACTGAGTGAAGCTGAACTGTCCACCCAGCAGTCACTGAAATCAGTAGTTACAAACTTCCTGGTAAACCACTGAAGTGCAGAATATGAGAAGGAAATTGAAGAGCTACTGAAGAGTTTCCGCCAATGTTAGTCAAACTGCACTTTCTGAGGTCACACTAGGACTATTTTCCAAAGAACTGTGGAGATTTGAATAAAGAGATGGGTAAGCACTTTCACCAAGACATTTGCATTATGGAAGAGCACTACCAAGGACGGTGGAATATAAACTTTCTCATTGATTACGGCTGGTGCTTGAAATGGGATGCAGTAGCTGCCAAGCACAGTTAAAGTCCCTGAAAAGACCTTTCATCCATGAATAGCTTCTTTTGTGTATTTTTCAGTTTACTATGGCACAATGTGAGCTTTCTGCAAATCATATCAGCCCTAAATTCAACCTTGTTTGTTTAATTCAACAAGAAAATAAATAGAGTTATAATACTCTTCTATACATTTCAAGTAAGAGCTTGTATCTTTAAAATTTGATTAGAAAAAATGAGTATGATTTTTGGATTTAGCATAAAAAAAACATCACAGGCCAGTGTTATCTATTGAATTTGTTAATTTTTTTTTTTTTTTTTTAGAAGGTTCAATTTCTGATATGGTAGTTTTGATTGCTTCCCATAGGTCTGCTTTGCTGTTATATTGTTTGCCACCTTCATATAATTCCATCTTCACAATTTCTTTAGAAAATTCAATTTTCATGTATTTTTTGGCCCAATTTTGATGCTTTTAACTCTTTGCTTTACTGCCTTGGAGGTTTCTTGACGGATCCAAATTTGTGAAGTATTCTACACCTTTTGTCCTTCTTGACACCCTCATTCCAACCCAATTTGAGCACTGGTCAAAAGTGGTTGTTTCATTCAATGATCTCTGCAAAGCTCTTGATATTGCCAATCACGACATTCCCTCACTCAATAACTTTGTTATTTTCTGTTTTTCAGCAGTTGTTAAATCCTTTTCATTACCCAGATTTCAATATAAATTATGAAAAAAAAAAAAAAAAGAAGATTTTATTAGATTTCAGAGGCCTTAGTTAAATCTGCATAATAATTTCAGACTGCGGTTTTCATAATAAATCCAATGACTTTAATAAGACATAGTGAAAGTACCTAAAAATTTAACTTGAGTTTTGTTTAGACAACTAAATTAATCATTTTGAAGCAAATTTGAGATAATAAGGTCTATGTGATTTGTATAACTTCGGATGGTCTATCGTTGAAATTTTGGTAGCTGATGTTTGAAACGGGACATAAAGAGTCTACTTAATTGGAATATTAGCATAAAATGACCTATCTTCCATTGTGCCCTACAGAGGTAATATATTCAGCAACATGGCTTGATCAAAGTCATGGCCACATGAGCAAAACACATTTCTCATATTCAGTAAGAGGATTGAATTAAAAATAAGTACACTTTGCTACCTGCATAGCTTGAGTATGACCTCTGTTTAGGGTTCAATTTGGTTTAGTTTGTTTAACGACAAATCAAGCTTTTCCAGGTTATTTAATACCAATTTCTATCATACAATAGTAAATATAGGTTTGGGTTGCACAAGAGTCAAAAAGATAGTTTTGACTTGATCTGCATGAAACTCAAAAAGGTAGATATAGATATATTAAACCATGTTCCATTTTTAGAGGGGGCTATTCCTTAAAGAAGCACAGTAGAATAATGGGTTGTGGCACAGATTGAGGAATCTAAGAGCAGAGTTCGAATTCCAATTCAGTTCATTACATACACTTACATACCCCTGGGAAAGGTATGAATCCAACTCTTTTCCCCCAGCTATCAGTAAATAGCAGAATAAACTGGGTTCTATAGACTTGGGTGGCAACCAGTCTAGCAGAAGGAAAACTCAGAATTCAAAAATGTATGTAGCCTAGTTGAAGCACATACTATATGCAGCTAAGAAAAAGATTGTTCAATGATCCCAACAGCAGTCAACTCCTTTTTTATTCCTTTGCATGGGAATATAGTCAGTGTATTCTTGACCACAAATAACAGTGCAGTCTGTTCAGGGAATATAAACTGAAGTGGAAGAATAAATAAATAAAATAGAGAACAGTACACCAGTCTGTTTCACCCTTCCACACTTGAAGAAATGGATTCAGATGATGTATATGTGGTTGGTTGCATATTATGGCATATCAACCACTGTAGGTCATTTAATGCCAAATTTTATATATATATATATATATAGTACGAGTAAACGTATAGCTGGCAAGATTATTTTTCAAAAACTTATAGCTGGCAACATTATTTTTGGACATAGTTTATCGCCATACCCAGGGTACAGATGTATGATGGAAAAAAACTGAGAGTTCACTATTGGCCCATAGCTGGGACCCTAACAGGTGCTACCACCCCGGGTCAGGGTGGACCGGGGAACACCAGCAATTAAGAGGTGGTTCTACGCTTCCTCAAAACCTCCTGATCAGAGGCCTTGCTGTTGGATGTAGTTTATCATCTATTGTAGCTGTGGCAGCTATAGGAACTGAACAATGTTTAACACCATTTCATTATGGAATGATTGTTGAAGTCAGAAACACGAGCACTATCTCTCAAGAGACAACTGCTCTCTGTTTTTCTTGGGCAGCAGTAACAAAGACATGCAAGTTGATGTAAATCCTAGACAGCGGTACATAAAAAC